CTAGTGGTTAGGCTACCGGACTCGTAATCGTGAGATTGCGAGTTCGGGGGTTGGAGCCTCAGCTCGGTTCAACGTTGTGTTCTTGGGAAAGGCACTTTACACGAACCTCCCACTTGGCTCGGTCCTATCGGAGACGGACGTTAAACTAGGAGGTACCTCCCCTTAAAAAACCTAATAGTGTTGATAAGGGCGTTAAACCTATACCATTTCACCATTTTTTCTGTCTCTCTCTCTTTCTCTTTCTCTCTCTGTCGTTCTCTCCCTCTCTCGCTCTGGCTCTCGTTCTCTCTTTCTCTCTATGTCATTCTCTATTCTCTCTCTCTCTCTCTCTCTCTCTCTCTCTCTCTCTCTCTCTCTCTCCCTCTTTCTCTTTCTCTCTCCGGCATTCTGTTTGACTCTATTTCCTCCCTTTGAAACCGCTTTATCATCCCCAGATCTCTCCTAAGGAAAAGGCCTTACATGTCTTTCTGGAAATGTTTAGATAATGTAAACGTGATGAAGTGACAACTAATATTAGGACAAGGTTTTTGTTAAATAAAGCGCACATTTATGAAATAATGGAAGACATTGGGAATCAGCATAAGTGTTGTGGGAGGCTGCATTTCTTTAAACAGAATCCACAATCTGTGTACAAATAATCGCAGACTAGGCCATTATATCCAAACACAAAGCCATGATCAATATGTCTTGCATCATATTTGATGACTTGATGAATCCCCCCCCCCCTCCTTCATTTAACCAGCCTAGCCCAACGTGTTTTCCAACTACCGAAACATCTTCCTTCCCTTCCCCACCCTCGTACTGGAACAGATCTTAATATTAAGCTCTCTTGAGTTGAAAAGAAAACGAATCATAATAATGTGTGCTCATTCTTGCGAATACATATCTGCACAATAGAAAGCACATAAGCTGCGCCTTTAAAAAATGACACGCACTTCTTTACAAATGAAAAGCCAATAAGCACGATCTAAATAATTCATTTATGATGTCTGTAAACTGTTGGTCAAGTCATTGGAAAATATCCCTTCATTTTGATTAATTCGGCGTGTCAACGGGGGTGAGGTTCTCTGCCGGAGGGAAAGTACTCAGAAATCTGACGGTTTCTCATACAATGTATAATGTGGCCCAGCTACCACAGCCTGCGTATTTTGAGTCACGGGCACATTGTTTGAGGGCCGCCAAATGCAAGGACTCTAGTGTTAAGAACTTTGTCGCTCCAGTTGATGTCAAGGATGCAGCGCAGCGATGGCATCGCATATTGTTGGCAAGCTGTTAAAATGCCCTTAGTCCAGAAAGCAAAATTTCTCAAGAGAGAAAAAAAACTCTTTCGTTCTTTTAGCAATTGTACCTAATTTATGTATCTTTTCTCGATTTTTTTCAACATCTGGAATTTGAATTTTGACAAAATATAGTGAAGTGCAAAAGAAACGCGATTTTTTTACGTTGTTCTAACCGCCCAATGCTGAGTTCATAGTTGTGTGATATGAACTCATATCACTCAACACTTGCCTCGGACGTCTTGATTGGGCATTTTTGAGCGTCGCAAAGATGCTATTGGCAGCGTAAGCAATACACAACTCACGAGTCATCACTCATCACTGAAACACACTTGCAACTTTTTGTGAGGGGTGAGTTTATGCTCACTCAGTCCTGGGCGTATGCCTATAAAATCCACCCCTCGAAATGTTGCATTCCTATCGAAACAGACGAGCTACAGACATGCCAAGGTTATCAAGGGAAAACAGAGAAAGAGCCGTCGGACGATTAGCGGCCGGTGAGTCGATGGAACAGGTGTCCCAGGTTTTTGGTGTCCACCCAAGCACCTTTTATCACCTTCGGAACCGATTACAAGCGACAGCAACCACAGCAGATCCACCAAATAGCGGCAGACCAAGGGTGACAACTCCGGCCCATGATCGTGTCATCGTTCGTCGGCACCGCCGCGATCCTTTTCTGCCGGCTGCAGAGACTGCCAGAACAACCATGGGAACGACTGGACACCAACTTAACCGCTGGACTGTATCACGGAGGTTAGTGACTGCTGCTTCACTGCAGGCGTCCTTACCAGGGAGCTGTCCTAACACCAAAGCATCGACAGCAACGGCTACAGTGGGTGCAGGCGCATGTCAACTGGCGGAACGCACAGAGGAGGAGAGTCCTCTTCAGTGAGGAAAGCAGGTTCTGCGTGGATCCAGCGAATGGCCGTGTCCGTCTGTGGCGTAGAGACACGACTCGCTACGACGACAACAACAATCTCGAGCGTGACCCCTGGGGAGGCGAGAGCGTGATGATATGGGGAGCCATGGCGTTGAATCATAGAGTGGGAACTGTCATCTTCCAAAGCATTGGTCCAGGACATGGAAACGGCATCACGGCTCAGCGCTACATTGCACACGTCTTGGCACCTTATGTGGTGCCCTTTCTAAAGAGGCATCCTAACTTCCTGTATCAACAAAACATCACACGACCACATACCGCACGTGCTACCCAGAACTTCTTGGCGCAGATCAATGTCAATTTATTAGCACACCCACATCGCTCACCTGACTTTAACCCTATTGAACATTTGTGGGACGTGATCCAAAGACAGCTTAATGAGATGCAGCCGCGGCCCAGTTGACTGCAGCCATCATCAGATCTTCGATGGCACCCAAAAGGGCCAGATCAACCGTTTGATTAACTCTATGAACAGAAGATGCCTCCCTGTAATCGCTGCACGTGGGAGCCATACGCGTTACTAAGTTAGCTCACCAAGGTCAAGGTCAACGTGAGCTCAGATGAATGTGTTGAACCCTCAGTTCATGTCAGCTATGTCACTCAAGAAGTGTGCAAAGCTTCAGTTAATGAACACAACAAATGGCTTGAAACCTGTGTGTTGTATTTTGTCAATCATTGTGGTGTAATACAAATTCGCGTGTTTTTTTTGTTTTGTTTTTTCACCTCAGTATATTTTTCGAGCACTTGCAACCAATAACCAATACCACAGTTTAAGAAACTACAAACAAATATATCAAAATGATGGGTTTAGTACATTTGAACAGCTAGCCAACATTATGAAAACTGCTCATTGTCTCTCTTGCCAACTTGGAGTTGTCCAGACGTTGATGGCACTCACGTTATACTATGCCATCTTGTTGGATGTGGTCAGCTTGGAACTCTACAAGACAAGAGTGGCCGGTGGTCCCAGGGTTGTTGCTGCCTTGTCAGTTCGTTTGTTCACTTCGTTATCGAGGGAAACGTTATCGTTGATCGATCCCATCATCCCCATCAGACGCACTAATCTTTTCTTTACTTTACTTTATCCTTCCTCTTTTACCCCTAGGACGTCTTGGGGGGGGGGGGAGATTGAGTGAGAGGGAGAGAGAGAGAGAGAGAGAGAGAGAGAGAGAGAGAGAGAGAGAGAGAGAGAGAGAGAGAGAGAGAGAGAGAGAGAGAGAGAGAGAGCTTTCTGTCTCTAGCAAGCTGCGTGGCCACCCTGGGTTGGATGTTGTAGGATAAATATTGATAATCGGGCTTTGATATTTCAAGTTGGAGTCCGGATCGCAATCCTATGCTCAGAAATTCCACAAATACGGATAACTATTCGCCGTTTGTCCACAGTCTCTTTAAGATCCTGTGCAAATGTCATCAAGATCCTTTTGCACTTGAAAGGTGATTTCCGCTTTGCACGAACACTTCAACATGCAGAGTCAACGTCCTGTGACAAAAAGAGAGACACTGTTGTTGTGGAAATGCCAAAGCAAAGGCAGAGTGTACGCATGACACCTTTGGGTCGCAATGGACAGAAAACATTCAGGTAAGTTTAAATTCACAATATTCATTTGAAGCCTAAATACACATTGCATCCTACCCCCCCCCCCAACCGCGTACACACATATAAATATACATATATACTAGTATAAATATACATATATATTAGTATATATATATACTAGTAGACAAAACGTTATAATATCTCAGTTGTTACCATGCTGGCGTAAGATGCTAATGACTCTAGTTTGAATTTCTAGTCGAGCATTCTTGAATATGTGTTATTTTTAGTTTCATCTTTCTCTTTATACATGAAGCAATGCTCTCAGGGATAGACCTAAAATAGGTCACACCACTTAATTAACCTTAAAATATTTCAAAGGCCATTAACACCAAAATGATATATCGCAACCAAGTAAAGCCTGTGCGCTGCTTGCAGAATGTTTTTCTTGACGTTTCTTTCCGTACGGGGCTATACTTTTAAGATTTTTACGAAAAGGTAGACTCTGGTGAATTAAACCGACTACCCTGACTGGAGTAACTTTATATAACACTAAATATACTCATACGAGTAATCTCTCTCCTCTCTCTCTCTCTCTCTCTCTCTCTCTCTCTCTCTAAACCAAACTCTCTCTCTCTCTCTCTCTCTCTCTCTCTATGTGTGTATGTGTACCACACACACACACACACACACACACACACACACACACACACACACACACAGACACTCACGCAAGCACCCTTTTGTTCTTGGCCTTTATACACACCATTTTAAAAGACAGATGTACTGGGATTAAAAGTATTGTCATCGCTCTGAGTACTCTTGGGTTGTCTAGGGATTGATGGGTATTGGAATGTGTCCTTGAAAAAGGCACTGCACCTGTAGCGCAAATTAGACACTACAATAATGTCTATCTTTCCGGGTTTTATTGTTTTAGAGGATTCTTTCATTTTGCACAGCTACCTTTTAATTATACCTTTTACAAATGTAAACACCGGTGTAAACAAGGTTTTGACCCCCCCCCCCAAACCCACACGCACACACCAAAGACGCCATCGATTTTTTTGACTTTTTACTTCTTTCGGTTCTGTATTTTTTGTAACTCAGTACATGCTTTAAATCTGTTCCTGTACCAAAGAGGATACGTCCTTATTTACCTTGTATTGTTTCAAATACATAAAAAAAAACTTTCGCAAACTTTAACAAGCAGTTATTGGAAGAGAGATGGTCACGATAGCGTATAAAATCCGCCAAAGGGATAGATTCATTCTTAAAATAGTTCAAAACAAGGGTGAGACGAGAAGGACAGAGGAATAGGGGGGGGGGGGGGAATTAGTTATGTGTGTTGACTAAACGGTTGTATTTTTAAACGAAAGTAATGGGGTGGTAGGACGATTGGGGGGGGGGGGGGGGCAGGACAATATACGCCTACACACCAGCCACGATACTGAATGGTGCGGCAGGTCATAAATTAAGTTTAAAACCTGCTACTTAATTCGAATTCTGGCCTCTCCAAATTTCGGGGAAGGCCCTATCTCTCCACAAAGGACTCCCAGAGTCTCGAGTGATGGGGGAATAAGTGGCTCATAGATTATTCACTGCTGAAGCGCCTCAAGCCTCAAAGCTCCACGGCATAATACGCAGACTGAGACCCGCATTGTGTAAGAATATTGAATTTATACACGCCGTGCCATGCTAAGGGCTAACAAAAGATCGGTTGTCCATGCAAGGGCAAGATTGGGACCGTGGGGGAACACTGTGGGAGGTAATTCAGTTGTTGGCTAGGGGAGATATATTAATAGTTTGTACTGCGAAGTATGCAAAACAGTGGGGACAGCGAAAGAACAAATACCCACGAGGCCATTCCGTGGGCTTTGAGCTGAGGAAAGAACTACAGGAAGAGATAAAAATGGTTCTAAAAATAAGTAAGACGCCGCTGGGTTGACAAGGCCTCGATGACATCCTTTTGTCATTAGGTTTGTCACATCAAAGTGGATCGTGTTTAGAAAAAAATAACAGCCCCTGTTCTTCAAACTCACAAGGACGGATTCTATTTCTTCCTTTGAATGTTTCACCCCTGGAATAAAGTAAATATGAATATACGAGTATAGTAATAATTATACTTTTCACTGTGGCATTTTCTGTCTTCAGCTCATAAGTAAAATCAGCTTTCGAAGTTTAAGAATTATCGTCTTCTTTTCAGAGCTCAAGCAATAGGGGCTGTTGCTTCATTTCTTCAAAAGAGATAATAAATCAATCCTACATTCTTCCAATATAATTAGGAAGGAAAATATGACAACAGCCGTAGGTTATACACACGAGAAGGACAATATATTTGCCGTAATGCCCAAACAACTAGCAACTTTTCCATTAAACAAACAAGCTGCCAGTGACTGGTAGAACAAACGTTCTCTTTTTTTAAAAAGTTCAAAGTGGTTAGAAAATTATGTTACTCAAGCCACAATCCAAGCAAAAAGTTAAAGTTGAAAGATGCATTTCATCAACATCCTTATGAAACCAAATACAATACCAACATCAACTCTTTTATAACGTTTGACTTTCAGTTTGTCTCTGCACTACCAATATGTTGACAGTAACAATTCGACCAGCTGGAGTCTAGGAGACATGAGACAAATAGGTAAGAAATTTCGTTTTTCTTCAAGGTTTCATTTTTCTCGAACAAGAAAATGCCATTTCCTGTTGAGACTTTATCATACCCTGTAGAAGAAGAAAAAAGAGCACAAGACGGCGAAATAACATTTTTTTCACGTGGTCTTTTCGCTTGATGCAGAAATTGGGTATTGTGTTACAGAAGCAAATCGGCATACTATATACTTTTTTTTTTTGGTCATGAACGATAGGCAATACTGTAGGAGAAAACTGTCTTAGTATTGATTGACTGCATCACCGTCATTTTTTTGTTCAGTAATAGTAGCTTTATGAGGAGCTCTAGCCTACTGTCAAATAAGGTATAAATATGTATACTTTATCTATGCATTGTATCGATTCGTCTCTTGCTTCCCATACTCACATTCATCTTGTTTGTCTTTCTCCGGTCCACTTAAGTAATCCCACTCTCCCCGTCCCCACAATTTGTATATCTATCCATCTACTATCCATCGTCTGCCTTTTGCTGTTGATTAGAGGACGCCTCGGTAAATACTACTATTTTCCTTTCTCTCTATTAATTTCTTGTTTATCTTGCCTCCCATGTTATTGTATCTATGTACTTTTTGTGCTAAATTTATCTATCAATCAATATATCTTTCTATCTATTTATCGTATTATTTATCTATTTCAGAGTTACAACCGAAACCCAAAGAAGCCGTGGGGAGCGAGGAGGGAAACACGATGAGGGAAAAGCGATCAAGTTCGGTTAGCGAAACAGGTATAGAGATATTATTATGCTACATTACATGTTTGACCTTATTTATTCATTCATTATTAAAATGTTGTTCTGTTCAAAGTAGGAGCATGCCCTTCTCTCAGTCTGTATCACGTTTGGCCATGTTGTGTATCCGTAAAGTGGTATTCTTGACCTTGCGTAGTCGGGCAGTTTGCACTACTCCCCAACGATACCGCATGATCCTTGTGGAGATGTATGGGAAAACTGGCAAAAAATAGCCTCTCCTTTGTTCAAACATATCCGTTATTCTAAAAGACGGATGGAGGTGGAGACTTTGTCAACGTCGTCATGTTTTTCATAACTAAAGTCAGTTCTCCGGTATAGTATTGTATAACAACATATTATTATGAAGACAACGGCAGCTCTGTTGATCTCTGTCATAGGAATGAATTTGAGGTTACAAATGTCAGACATAACGCTGCATATAGAGCCCGCTACTCACAAAGACAAAAAAACAACTTGACTTCAGCCAACAGCCAAGGTTTAGATTCCTTTCGGCAACAGTCACAATCACTACAACAACAACAACATCATCAACAACAACAACAACAACAACAACAACAACAACAACAACAACATCAACAACAACAACGACGACAACAAGCAAAAACAAGAAAGAACAAGCAACAAAAACAAAAACCAGCAACAACTATCAACAACAAAAGTAGAATAGACAAAACGTCGGACCCAATCTGTCCATTGTGCAGAGAGTAGCCCCAAGATTTGGAGCACTGACTACAGAGATGCCCCGCTGTCGAGGTCCGGCGGTGACATCTCTTTGGTGAGGATTCAGGGAGATTGAACTGCCTCACCCGCTACCCAAGAGAGGCGGTGGCCCCGGCGAAGAGCACGCTCCTTGGGGCTGCAAAGATTAGCAAAAACCAGCTACTAACGGACCAACATCAAGTTTCAACTTGTAGTTATTGTATTCATGCATTTGCCTTTTTAACTATTCGACTTCCTTCGTGGCCAGTTTTCATGGCATTTTTTAGGGAATATTTTGTTGCTCGTTTTGTTTTCGACAGTATCTTATTATCATTATGTGCTGTTTTTCTGTATTGCCTAATGGTTGTCGTTACTAAATGAAGTACATATTTTCTTTCAGCTGTGAAAGCAAACGCAGCTGGTGATCCTTGTGGAAAATCAGGCACATGTGTGAGGTGGGTCTTGTTCTCTGTCTCAGTCTCTGTTCCCATCTTTCTCTGAGTATCTGTGTATTTCTCAAATATAAGTTTGTGTGGTAGTCTGTCTGCTTATGTCTCCCTCCGTGCCTCTCTCTTTTTCTCTCTTTCTCTCCCTATTTCCCTCCCTCTCTCTCTCCCCCCTCTCTCTCTCTCTCTCTCTCTCTCTCTCTCTCTATCTCTCCCTCTCTCGTCCACAGAAAAACTAACGTTGAATTTGATACGCAATCAAAAAGTGGTACATGATACGCAATCAAAAAGTGGTACATTTTTTTTTAGATTAACAGTATATCAATTTAGTCACTGAGGCAAGTGGACCACTTTCAGAAAATTATATGTGAATTCTATGTTGAACCGTTGAACTGAACATCACAAGACGAGACAGGCACAGAAATGAAGAAGTAAGAGCAACTGTCGGCATTGAGTCATGCCTGCATTACATAGAAAGACTGAGAAATAAAATGGTTTGGCCACCTGTTACGTATGTCACCTGGCCAACCAGCCTCGAGAGCCTACAACACCAAGCACTCAGGCTATAAAGGAAGAGGAAGGCCACACAAAAGGTGGATCGAGGGTGTCAAGGAAACCCTGAAAAAACATAAAATCACAACTGAAAGAACTGCAGAGCTGGCCTACCATAGAAAACTGAACCTCCCCTCGACGCTTAATGGCAAGAGGATAAAAAAGTAAAAGTAAGTACTGAACTCCTACAAAATAGATATTAGAAAAGCAAGAAAAACCTTAAAAATCAACATCCTCTATTCTATCAAACTCACTTTGAGCGACGCTGTCAATCCACATTGAATGTCCACACCAGTTCGCCGTCGTAAAAATATACAAATTGATCATTGCAGTCAGAAAAGCTTCACAAGCTGAAAATTTCTTTTGAGTAAACACGTTCGCTTTTCAGTCAGTTCTAATGGTTTAGCTATCGCACGTCACAATCTTAAAAGTAGTCTTTTCTTGTCTTGCGGGAGTCGAGTAACCAGCAAGTGACATTGGTGACCTTGGATTGTACGCTTTGCGTCATGAATAAAACAATAGTTTTTGTTGGCGTATTTTTCTGATTGTAAGAAAGACGAAATAGGAGAACACGATATTCACACCATCATATAGTGTTGATGGAAAAAGAACCGTTTTGTTTAAGGAGGTGTTTCGCGCCATATACCCTGAGCATTATCTATCTCGTCAGACATATGAAATAAAATAATAATAATAATATTACATCATTGATCGCTGGGATGTCTGAAGGAAGACGTCTGGCTGCTGTGGCTTGTTTGACTGGAGCTGGGTTTGGGTTTCTTCTTTTTTTCTTAATTTTGCTTGGCATCCTGAAGAAAGGACTGACAGCTGTGCTTCTTTCAAAATATCCTAGAACGTGCCGTGGTGTGCGTTACGTCATATCAGTACCACGACTCGTAGATAACTATTTTAAGGGGTAGAGTTTTGTTTGGGGTTGTTTTGGGAGAGGGGGTACGAAACGAGATTCTTTTTAATTGCGTCAGACTCTTTCTGAGAGTCATTTCACTAACGTAAGTTGTGTAGCAGCCCTGGATACTTACATGTTTTCTTTTAATTGAAAGGTCGCGTTCCTGTTGACGTGAGTAGAATGTGAAAGAGTCGGAGATCTGAATACGTCCAAGGTAACAAACCAGATAAAGAGAAAACGCAAACATAGCGAATCAAAGCGCCACTCACGAGGCGAAGTGAAAAGGACATTCAGAAACGAACTGTGAGAGAAATGTGAGCCATCAATTATGACGATTGTATTAAGGTTGTCATGGGACTGTACAGTTTGGACGGATGGGAATATGTAATTCAATAAAGCAGGCTTTGTGATGAACGGTAACAGAGTTGACCTTCACCAAAGTAGAGCATCGTCCTCGTGATCCAGTTCCCCACGGAAAGGCGATATTGGTTATGGTACTATAATTAATCTTGATATTCCGTCCAAGTTGATAGATCCACAGATGGTTATACCCACGTTCAGTGGTAGAGATCATCGTTTTAGTTTGGGGGTTAAGCCTTTACTCTTGATGCTTTCTCTACACTCGCGTTGATAAGAATTACGTTTTTTCATTTTGAAAACTGCAAAAGCATCACACCACGAGATATATAATATATCGCCATCTGTTTTAAACTTAAACCTAAAATGAAGCCGAAATAACAGCGAATAAACCAACAGCAGAAACGTAGTTTTAGTTTCAGAAAGAGCTTTAGCTCACTTGCAACACAAATTGTACATTTAAGTGCCAAAGATTAGAGAGGTTAATAGAGAGTAACAGGCAAAGAAAATAAGGAGGGATAAAAGCGACTGATGTTTGATCGGAAAGAAAGAGCAAACAATACCAGATCACTCCTAACCATAAACTCAGAAATGTATACTCGTATAATAAACTCAGAAATATAAAATAAACTTAGAAATGTGTACACACATAAAAAAAACTCAGAAATGTATGCATATATTAGGCTCAGAAATGTATACACATATAATAAACTCCAAAATGTATACATGTAATAAACTCAAAAATGTATGCACATATAATAAACTAAGGAATATATACACATGTAATAATAACTTGATACTTTTGACGTCATCCAGGTTCGGGGCCAAGGACTGCAAGCACCTGGAGTGTGACTATCTTCTGAGTTACACCGTCATCAATCACACCAAGCTCACCCTGGAGATCAGCGGCAAGACAGACGGATGGGTCGCCCTGGGACTCTCCTCAGACAACAAAATGGTTCGTTTGTTTCGTTCTATTATGGTAGTGAATAAAATGTTCATGAAATGGGATTTTTTACGCCTCCAGGGGTTGGTGGTCGGTGGGTGCTCTGATGTGGTGAGGTTTGCTCCTTCTTTCCTATCAAACATCTATCGTCCTTGTCTCTCCTCCTTCCTTTTCATGATTATTACTCTCTTGTAACACCTCTTATCTTCGACATGTATATAATCGTATTGTGTTACAAGCGCTGTAAAACGTTTACTAAAGCAAAACAAACGCCTCAATCGATATGCTAAAAGTTATAAATGTATTAAAATGTACAGATAATATGTATTTTTGGGTATTTGTGAATATGTTGAAACCCCTGCTTAACTCAAATGGTTTCAAGACAGGTTTTTAGTTCTAAAAAGAATTTCCAGTAGAAATCATCGGTACGGAAGTAAATATGCCGAGAAAATGTGTCGTCTCTATAAAAGAGAGCGTGTAACGCATGAGCAGTACCCTTTGAGAGGCGGAATTGCGCCCCTATCGGTGGGACAACTTCCTATTCATATTTTGAGAGCAATTGCGCGGATGAAGAGTCGCACAGACGAGAGCAATCCACTGAAACGCAAGCATGCTTCGTCATATTCACGCACTCACTTACAAACACACACACATACAGGCATACACATACACAACTCTTTGAAACACACACATACACAAACACACTCACACACACACACACACACACACACACACACACACACACACACACACACATTCATACACACACACACAAAAACATCCACTCGTATAAACATGTCTGCCCACATGATTCCAGCTATGTCGGTAAGACCATTTTCATGTAGGTATCATGCAAGATCAACCGCCAATAATTCCGCTGTCCTCAAAGTTGGGAAACTCCTGGCAAAATTGATTTATCAGGGGGCACTCTTATAGATGTTGGCTCTGATCCAGGGCATTTAATTTCTTTTTCGGAGCTCGGGGTCATGAGCTGCCAAGGGTTCACCACGCCAGAATGCGAGAATCCCATTCTCCGATTGTCATTTTGGGATCAGCGAAAGCCGAGGAGTTGTTTGGGCTTTTTTTTCGTCTAAAGTCTCCGAAATGGCTAATATAATATGTGTCGAAAGGCGGTAATTGATTAAAACGGCTTAGAGTGGATAGTAATAGTGGTTATAGTACAAGTAGAAGGAAGGGTTTTTTAATACGGCAAACAAGAAGTATAACAGGAAAGTAAGAAATCATTAGCATAATTGTGAATGGATTGGCGAATTAAAACGTTAAGATGCAAAAGAACACAGAAATACAAAGAGCGTGGCTAAGAAACAAAAATCACATAGATGGGCATATATATAAATAGAGATTTGGACTTTGAAACTGTAAACAAGAAGAAAAGGAGGGAGTGAACTGGAAGCAAAAACACAGACAATCGGTCAATCTCGTTGGTAGACCAATGTACGTACAGATAGAGAGTAAGAATAAATTTGACCATAAGGATAGAAATAAGTTCAAGGTTTTGTCAGTCGTTATGATCCCAGAGAGTTAAAAGCCTATAAGATGAAGATATCTACAAAGAGTAATACAGTGAGGCAGGGTAAAGGATGTGAAATGTTCTGTCTTTGTGGGTGTCGAGAATCCAGCTGCTAATTGCATGAATATTCAATCCAAAGAGGAAATCAAACTTGATTACACGCAAAGAAAGAAGGTGTATTCTACGAGAATCGTTGGCCGAAAAGAACATTTCACGGCACAGTATTCAAAGAAATAGCAGTTTCAAAATCGCTAGACAAAACTGGTTTGTTTAGCATCTCTGTTTTAGTTTAATGCCCGTATTCAAATTGGTTGTAGAGAAAGATGGAAAACACAGCTCTGTTGGTAGAAAAAAAAACTCCAAGAAATCAGCATTTAACTTCCTGTTTTTCTCCTACTCTTCAAGTTGCTACAATGAATCATTGCCCAATGGGGCTAAACATCGTAACACCCTCAAGGGCGCTCATAAAAAATACAGAAATAGGCCAGAATAAAATCCGTTCTTATTCCTACGTGCGGTGCCCGAAATGTTTCCAATTCATCCCTTGGCATGGAACCACTAATCTGGGATTTTTCGCCGAGTCTTCGCTGACGCTGCTCATGAATCTGTAATACCTCATTCGGCCTTTCTTCGACGACGAAAAGACGCCTCATTTGGTCTTTCTTGGACAGGGAAAAGAACCTCTCTTCCAACGTGCAGCTATACTGTTCGTGTCCTTGAATCTCTAATCACATCAATTCCGGCTTGTGTGTCCACTTGACAGAGGTTGGTCATTGGTGACACCCCTGTCCTCGACTGTTTCGAAAACGAGTAGACTTCTCTCTCTCTCTCTCTCTCTCTCTCTCTCTCTCTCTCTCTCTCTCTCTCTCTCTCTCTGTCTCTCTCTCTCCCTCTCGTTCGCGCACGCTCTATGTTCCTACCACTTTCTATTTCGTTTTCTTTAAGTCACGTAATCAATCACTTAATTAATGGTCAGCATGGCAGCCCAGACAAAGACAATGGAGATAATATTGGCTCCCCTCCATCGTAAAAAAACGTTTTTCCCCATGACAATTCACTCAGACGGAAATGCAATTATCTTTGTACAAAAAGCCGAGTGTTGGGTTCTACATAAGTTGTGTACTACCATGAGGCACGGCACTATAGCAAATTATATTTCTTTCTTTCCTTCTTTCTTTCTTTCTTTCTTTCTTTCTTTATAATTGCTTTAAATCTCGCTTCTTTTGAAAATGGGAGATGGAAAATCCTGGCCTTTAATTGATAGATTCTTATAGCTTGTGAAAAGCGTATTTATCTGCTACATAGATTTATGTGGTTCTATGTCACAAGTGTCACACAGAAGCCAAAAAATATATCATTGTATTATTACTTCTACGCGCCTTAACCCGATCTGAAATCAGACACCAAGCACTCACCATACTTACAAACGAATAATTTTGTAGAGGCCTACCAAAGATTAAAAGCCTCACTAAGTTTTGATTGATGACCATGTTGCCGTACAAGTAACTTCTATTTTTTATGTCCAGACAATATGAGTCTTCGAAACAGTGAACTTGAAACATCAAACTTTCAAGGGTTTGGTTAGCTTACAATTCAGTTGTCTTTTATATACACACTGAGAGATTATCTGAGAGTTGACTCAAAACTCTCTGACATATTTCTAGCCCGAGATGTCATAATATTGTTTCTAAAAACAGTTTATACAGAATGCACTGTATATGTAGGGCCTATGGGTAAGTATACCCCTTCACGGCTTGCCAAAAGCATCTAGCCCTTGAAATAATTCTAACTTTGTGAAACCCCCATATTTCACAACACTGACGTATGATTAATAAGTTACAGTATGAAATACAGACACAGATGACTCAAATGTTGTCTTCCCCTCTTTCCACGAGTAAAGTCAAGTTATATTGTCCAGAAGACTTTAGAATAAAAGATCAGTTTTTGCGTCTTTAAGATTGACTTTGAAGCCCCAGCTCCGTCCTAAAGCTTCCCTTTGGCGACCTACAAGCATATTTATATTTGAAGTTAAATCAATTTAGACAATACACTGTGGTGTAATGATGTTGTGTATTGTGAATATGTTGGCATATGTCATTGTGTGTCGTGTATCTGCTGTGATAAGTAAAAGTGACATTGTATTTACATGTATATCCAAATCTGAATAGGGTGGAGACGAAGTGATCGTTTGCAAAAGGAAATCTGTTCTGGAGACCGATCTAGAGGCGTCTTCCATGTGGATTCAGGTTCCCTATTCCAGGCCTAAGCCTACGTCAGCTAACAGCCTCCAGTTACTTCAGAGCAAGGTCAAGGATGGACACATCTACTGCAAGATGACCACAGATATAGGGGTGGGTAGAATCCTTTGGAATCGTTCCTTTTGTGTTTCGTCACTAACCACCAAATTTGTAAAAATTCGACACACCAAGGTCGATGGATGGTTTTGTTTTTATTTATTAATATGTTTATTTTTGTACTTACTTTTATAGTTAGGCATTCAGTTATCTATTTATCATTATTGCATTTATATTTTGATATGTTTGGGGGTGGGGTCATTTACTTGTTTATCTTTTAATTGTTTCGTTCTAGAGTTTGCATTTTCTAACTGAAACCCCAACGAGCTAAAATTGTCAAGCGAGTAAGAGAATTAGTTTTAAATTTCTCTGACAAAAAAGTAAAGCTTTATATTTACACAATTCGGATTGGTGCGTGGAAAAAGAGGGGCAGGGCCTGTGGTGGCCTCTTTAACGTTGTCATTCCAGCATGGTGTTCCCTTAACGTATCCTCTCCCAATTCGTTCTTTCCACATACTTCTATCAGTGTTTCTGTTAGTAAGTTTTTAAAGAGAGTCCACGTTTCTCCAAAGTTCATCGAACTGGTGTCTCGGTTTTTTAGTCTCTTTGTGATCTCGTCCTCAACTTTCTGCACATTGCCCTGTTCATTGAGTTTTCGTAAATTAATTTTCTCTGAATGTTTCTTCTGTTTTCGCATGGGTCTTTTTTTCTCTTTACTCTCCATCATCACTGGTCGGTGATCTGTATCAAAGGTGATGTTTGGGATTGATCTTGCATCAGTTGTTTTTGTTCTATGGGCGATTCGTCTTAGTATGAAGTCGATCTGTAGGGAAATTTTTAAGTTGTTCCATTTCAAAGATAGAAAAAAAGATAGAAAGAACAAAAGAAAGAACGAAAGAAAGAAAGAACGAAAGAAAAAAAGAAAGAAAGAAAGAAAGAAAGAAAGAAAGAAAGAAAGAAAGAAAGAAAGAAAGAAAGAAATGGAAGGAAGGAAAAAAGGAAGGAAGGAAGAAAGGAAGGAAGGAAGGAAGGAAGGATGGAAGGAAGGAAGGAAGGAAGGAAAACACGAAGAGACAAAGAGAGACAGGGTAGAGACGGGATGGGGGGAAACATAGACAGGGGGGATAAGGGGAGGGGGGGTCGGGAGGGGGGGATTTGGAGGCTGTCCCAAAGGGCATTTCCCACCCCGTGCCCCAGAAAATCTCTGCTCATTACTTTCTGTCGATGACGATTCTAGTGCTGCAGACTGCTTATAAACTGCTTTATCACCAGCTAGGAGAAGCAATATTCATGGGTACATTTTGGTCTTGGGAGCTTTATTTTCAGCTTATGTGCTTTTTTCCTTGTTTCTCTTGCATGCATGCCCCTCTTATTGCGATGGCAACACAATCGTCAGATTATTATCTTCTGTGTGTGAGAGTGTGTGTGTGTGTGTGTGAGTGTGTGCGTGTGTGTTCGTGTATGTGTACGCACATGTGAGTGCGTACATGTGTGTGCGTGTGTGTGCGTGTGTGTGTGTGTGTGTGTGTGTGTG